TCAGAAGTTACCACCAATTTTAACTTATTTGCTCATGTTAATTAATTTTTTCTTTAGGGCACCCCCAGTTTCTATGCTTAAAGTAAAGAGCTTTCTTGGGTTTTTTTCAGCACTTTCTTTAAACAACTAACTAAATTTATCAGGAAGAAAGAATACACATTACTGCTTGTGACTTCCTTTCTTTTTAATTCTCAGTGTCCTCAATAAAGGGTTTTTTATTTATTTTTTTCAGACTTTTTTACTGAGTTTTGCATAGCTTGCTTATGCTGTTCCTGGCCTTCCTCACATTCTCTCCTTATGTTCTGGTTAAACTGTGACACTGTTTTGCGGAAAAAATAGGGCTTGCCAACCATAAGGACATACATGGTTTTGAGTATTACCGTATAGAATAGTTAGTGTATGTAAGTTGATCCTCTTAAGAAAAATTGGGAAGGTAGGGAGCAAGAAAGGATGTAAAATAAGTATCTTTTTGGAAAAGTGCTCTGAAGGGACATTGAAGGGACAGTAAAAGTATCTGGAGGGAGTGTGAGTGGGTAGAAAAGGAAGAAAAAAGCTGGATTCCAGATGAAAGGTTCTCCAAGTAAGGAAGGTGAGCCAAGCAACATGAAGAGGTTTCCCCTTTCTATCCCTTTCCCTGGTGCCTTGCCCTGTTACACCATGTGACTGTTTATACAGAAGATTCCACTTCCAAATATTGACCTCCACATATGCACACTTCTGTGAAGTACCATGCTTTTCTATAATCCTGTTGTGACCAAATGTCTACATAGCACTTAATTTGGTAGCTGCTTGTGTGTCTTAATTCCCTGTAAAAATTACTATATATTGCATAGAAGGAAGAGACATTCGAATTCAGAGGAGAAGGAGGTATTGACTGAAACTTTGGTGGTGGTCAGGAACCAACTTTGTCCTTGCTCTCATACCACTGTTTTGTGGATTCTGCCTATTTTTTTACCTGCTTTCTGGTATACTGAGACTTCAGTTTGTGTTTTTGATGCAGTGTGTTGCTAAAGGGACACTCAACTCTCATGATACTCTTTTTGAAATACGGAGAGAGCTTAAGGAGTGACACTGTCTCTTGAACTAGTCTGAACTATTCCTTGTCTGATAATTATTGAAGTGCAAACAGGAGTGGAGACAAGGGCTTTCCAGGTGCTAATTCCTGAGGGCACAAATAGAGCTCAATTCTCCATATATTCCCCCATATCTGAAGATTCTTTGAGTAAAGATTCTATGATCCTTTGCATGTAAGCCTTCCTCTGCCCCGATGACTCTGCTTGCAAAGCTGTCTTTATCACAGTTCACCATCCCCAAGCCCTCATTTGACTCCAGCTTTTCTTTGTATCTGTTGTAACTCATCATATCTGCAGCTCAGTAGCAAGAGAGATTTTAAAGATGTAAGTGAACAGCAACGCTTCTTGTCATGCTTCATCTACAGTGGTATGTAACTACTGGATTTTTAGCACTTGCCTTATTTAGCCTGTTGAAGCTTAGAATATGGCAAGATGAATTGATGATTTAAGCCAACAGGAAAAAAAGTCCAAACTATTAAAAGGTGTTTGTGAATTTTAATCACTTTACTGACTACATTTTGGCTAGAAAAACCCAAAGAATTCATACTTTCTGTGTGATGTGGGGAGCTTGTGTATTGTGTGGATACTGTTTAATTTCATTAAATCATTCTTGTGTTATTTAGACTGCAGTAAATTCATCATGATATGTCAGATTCCCTGAGCATGTGCACATGCTGCATGCATACACATATATGCAGAGGTGGGAGACGGAGCTGCAGCTTGAGATCTTAACTTCTGCAAAGCGTGTAAGCAAAGCTTCTGCCTTAGCTCCTTGGTGAGAGAAGCCAAGGAAGGAGGCAGCATTGGTACCAGGGCCACGTGCACTGCAGTGTGGCAGAAGGTCAGGTCTAAATGAAGTCTCGTTACAGTGCTTGAAGCTCAGAGGTCCCTGTAGAAGTCGTAGGACATACACGCTCTATCTGTGAGGAGCAAGCATAACATGCAAATGTCTGAATGGGCTTGAGCTCTGCAATGTTCCTGGCATTAAGTGTACCTCTTGTCTACAGATGCTGACAGGCAAGATTCTATCAATCTCTTTCTGGGAGTATTCAAGCCTACAGAAGGAAAGCCTCATCTCTGGGAACTTCCTACTGATTTTTATTTGCATCACAAGAACACCCTCAGTCTGTCACAGACCAGGCGAAGGTATTTTGCTGTTCTGTTTTTTTGTTTGTTATTGCTCTAATAAATTTTTAAAATGCATGTTAACCAAATAATTTGGTCAGCCTGTCAAAAGCTTGCTCTATTGTTTTTTTAAGTTTTTACAAGGACTTAAAAAAAAAAACCTTGAAGATGTTACCAGAAGTGTTGGATGTTGGTGTTTTGAAGGATTTGCTTTTTAGTGTGTTATTTTCCTGTTGTACTGAAGAAAGTAGTTTCATTTCACATGAACTTCTAGCCTGCAGTGTGAAACACTTGACTATTTTGCTTGAAGTATGGTTACCACTGTCTCAATTAAGCAATATACAGGTGTATTTTTGGTTAGATTTATTAAGTCATTGTTGCATTTGAGATTAGGTGATGACATGTGTGTTTTGGGTTTTTTTGGCTGTAATGCAGTTAGTATGTAATGCATACCAAGAAGCCCACGATTTTCTACTTTCCTTTCATCCATGTCTAGCTTATTTTGAAGACTACTTTTCTTCATTTGCATTCCATTGGAGTTGCATGGTAATATACAGAAATAATAGAGCTAAAGCGTAACAATTTTAAAGTCATTTTAGACTGCTTCACACTGTGGAATGACTTTGTTAAGGATTATAAATACTGTGTGTAAAAAAAAAAAAAAATTTAAAAATTATTTTAATAATAAGAACAGTACTAGACTTGTTAACTAAATCATCTCTTTTAGAAATTTCACTGTTTGTATCTTTGTTCATTCTGAGAGTCTTAAAGCTCTACCATCACAAATGGTAGATCTGAATGTCTGCATTTAGATTTTTGTCTGGGGAAGACTGCAAGTGTTTAAACAGCGTGTTCAGTCCCTGTTGGCTTCTTATTCCATTAACCCATCACGGCAGCTGGCATGTGATATGACTGTTTCTAAATATCAATTATTTTATATGGTCTCCTGAGGCTTCTTTTGATGCTAGCTCGTATCAGCCATACAACCAAGTGCTATTTCAGGCACACGTGAAACACGCAACCTTAATTTTATTGCCTACTGGTTCCGGACATTATTGTATGTCAAAAACTAATTCAGCTGATATATTGCAAATACATGAATGTCCTAGTTTCCCTTTCATCTGTTAGTCTGTTAAACAACTGCCTCTTATTTGTCACAGACACTGCTCTCAAATGAGGTGGAACATTTAAAAAAAAATTGTTGGTATTCTTCATTTACTTCTTAATTATTTTTATGCTTCATTCTGGCCAGAATTTCTTCTGAGCACTTAAAATATACAATAAAGATGTTTTCTCATGTGAATAAAATGACATCTCCATGTAATAAGTAGTTAGGTCTTCCAAGTAATTTTTTTACTTCTACCAAACTATTGGACAAGTTCTTTATATAACTTTGTCCTGCCACTCTGTGCAGTGCCTCTGTTGGATTCCTAGGCACAGCAGTAAAGGAGATAATGAAAACTCATAATGAAACCAAGGATACAGGAAGAGAAGGAAGATGATGTTTCCTGTCATTGAAACTTCTTTTGATTATCTGTGCTTTTCCTATATTGTATTTGCCTCTCCATCAGAAAGAAATTTCATAATGAGTTTCCTATATTACTTTTATATAATTTGTAATTCACGTGAAAGGACAGTGAATATGGAAAAGGAGACTTTCTGTTGCCACGTTACTTGTCATTTATGCTGGCAGCAAAACTGGGTATGTCTGCTTAGTTTCTGAAGGTGCTGGAGAAAATGGGTTGCTAGCATGGCCTTGTACAGTACTTCAAGAGGAGACATGACTGTCAGGCATAACTCATCCCCTTCTGTTTAGGACATACACAGTTCTTGGCATTGAACTATGTTGCCCCGCCTGTTCTGCACCATTTGCGAAGTCCTACTTACAAGTCTATCTCTGGGCATGGGAATACACCCCTTGTTTCTGCTCCAGATGGCTGCACTGAGACATGAATAGGGGAGAACTGCATTAATATTCTGATTACAGCCCTTACAGTATTGTGAATACACATTGGTATTTGAAATAAAAATCAATGAAGATAAATGTCTTTTCATCCCAAGTAATGGAATAGAAGGAGCTATCAGAACAATTTAGAGAAGAAATTAAATTATGTTTGAGAAGAAAAAATAAAAATATGTAAATATGAATGAAAGAAAACATGCTTTATTTTATGAATGTTGCTTGATTTCCTTTGTTTTTCAGAAATCCTGAATAAGCTTCCAGTAGGGCCTGGTTTTTGCTGTTGGCTATGCCAACATACAGTTCTCAGACTTAGGACAGCTGCCACATCAAAATGTATTTCTGTGTGTAGCAGTCAGCTACTTCGACAATCTTCCAGTTTTTATTATCACTGACCTTCATTTCTTCATACCCTTTTCCTAAATTTTAGGATCTGAATAATACATGGTGGGTAGGGGTTGATATATTTTTTTTTTTTTAAAGATCAGAACAAGAGAAATACATAAATACCTTCTATATGTACTAAGACCTTAACTTTCAGTACTGTAGAGGTAGGCACCTGAAATATATTTTGTTTAATGGAACAAAACAACTCCTCCCTCTATACCTGTATTGAGCTTCATGTGTTTAAATTTCATGGCCTGAGAGCAAAGTAGCAGGGTAGGGGCCTGTTGAGGTCCTCCATCCAAGGATAATTCTTTACTTTCTTCCATACTTGGAATTATAAAGAAATGTTTACTGAAGTGACACTATATGGTTGGGTAACTGTTATGTGCAAACATTTAGACTGGATACAAGATCAAATCTTCTGTATCAATTGTGTGTCTGTTTTTCCTGTACAGTTATACTTACTGGTGGACCACAGGTGTGCTAAAGCATTTACCTCTTCCTTTTGATGAAGGTAGGAACTATATTTGCTCCGTGCCTTACAGAGTATCTTGAAAAAGTTTTAGTCACAAACGCTTTTTAACTGTTTCAGATCCCAAATCTGGAGGGGAAAAAAAGTTTCGATAATGATTGTGAAATACTTTACACCTTTCCCACCTCCACCCCCCCCATGAACTATGATTTTTTTCAACTGCATGATGCATAAGATACCTAATTGGCTAAAACTTGACCTCCATGTGTTTATGTGCTGGGGCACACTTTTTTTTCCCTTGCCTATTGACACACATTTATAGTCTATGCTGGTGGTTATATTCCTGTTGCAGATGACAGGCTATAGCTAGTGTGTATTATTTCTCTGGAATACTGTAGAGCATATTTTATTAGGAATTGTCGTCATGAAGGCAAATCAAATTATGGTGGTTGGTAATGCATATTTATTACAGATGTGCTGTGCATCTCCTTCATATCATATTTTCATGTCTTAGAGGGGATATGGCTGTAGAGAAATGCCTGGTAGGGTGGCTAGGTAAGGAGGCTACTGTTTAGATTTTTGCAGAGTCACTAGTTGTTAGTAAAAAGATTTTTTTTTTTTCTTTTCCCCAGTGACATGTGCTGAAAACAGACGCAAGTTGACAGTGAAGAAATTCCGCAAGTATGAAGAGGAAATTGATATCCATAATGAGTTTTTTCGGCCATATGAGTTGAGCAGTTTTGATGAGACCTTCTGCTTGGCAATGACCAATTCTACACGGTATTTTGGGGTATTTGGGACTATAAATCCTTAACTGGAATTTGACTTGGTGTGATTTAAATGTACATTTGGTTTATTTGGTTAAATCTGTATAACACGATAGGTTTTGTGGTTTGGTTGGGTTTTTTTAGCTTCAAATATAGCAAACCTCTAGAAACTAAATTACAATACTGAAATTGAAATGCTACTCTAAAAAAAATTCTGTTAAGATAGCACTTAAATTTACAATTATTTTCCATTATGGGGTGTCAAATGTTTGGATGATTGAAGGCTGAGAAATGAGCTTTTCTTTGTGGACTCAGATCATAGAGGCTACCTTCAAAGCAATTGTTTTCTAATTGTTCTGCTGTCATTTTACAGTTGTTTTCTTTGGTTCACCAGGTTCTCATAGCTAGCCAGATAGGTATCTTTTTTGTTTGTTTTGTTTTCTTTTGTTGGCAACAATCAGCTGGATATTCTAAGCATAATCTTAACTATGCTTTAGCTAAAGACTTCCATGCAGATTATGTTTAATGTAGTTTTTTCATGCAGTTTGAATATTGGCAGCATTTTGAAAACAATGTAGCTGAGTTACTGGGCTTCTTCAGCACAGGAATGGAGCACATTGCTCTAGCCTCCTTGGCAAGTGGTGATGTTTGCAGCTGTTTTATGGGACTAAATAATGCAACTGAAAGCTTTTAAAATACCTAAAGTTTTATGTTTACATGACTTTAACTTGTAATGATGAAGTTAGAGCTTGATACTTCTTTTTGTAAGGATTTTTTTTTTAATTCAAAGGTAGATGTTAGAGGTGGTTCTTCCAGAAAATTTAAAAGTGTTATGTTGAATGTTGCTCATGAACAGTTTTTCCTTTCTATTTTGCCAGAGATTTTATGCCTAAGAATGTGGGGATTGATCCAAGTCCATTTACTGTTCGTAAACCTGATGAAACTGGAAAATCAGTGTTGGGGTAAGTCTGAAATAGGAAATTTTGTCTGGTTTAATAGTAGTGAAATTGTGATGCAAATATATAACTTCTGTGTGTGTGTCTGAGTAGCATATTCTCTGTTACATGGGAAACAAAAATTATTGCAATTACACTGTAAAATCATACACTTTGAAAATCATATCTAATTTGAGATTTTTCTTTGACATTGGGAATTCTTTATTCAGACTTGTTTAAGCTTTTCTGTTTTCTTGTACTCTAAGTAAAACCCATGAGAAAATTTTATCTAGAATAAAGATACAAAGGTTGTTGAAATTTGGTCATCTCCTCATACTAGCGGTAACTGTATTCTCTGTTGGAGATGACAGGAATGCTTATGTTATTGGGTTTTAAAAAAAAAAAATAACACATACCCTGAAACATTAATAAAATGCCAATTTCAGCATAGTTTTTTATTAAAAGTGTTATTAAAATATTTATAGATAAAATTATATAATACAATTCAGCAACAGTTATTGGGACAAATTAATGTTTCATTTAGCTGTTTTTGCATCCTGGACTTTGATTTGTTACTTTATTCTCTTCCTGTGTTTGATCTGCTGTATCACACAAGAGCTATGGGGACTCTTCCTGAACCAATTCATTCTCTCCATGATATCTCATATTAAGGAAACCTTTTGTCAGTAATGACTAAACCTGTGCTGTCACAACATTATAACTTCTTCTGAAAACTTGCCATTCTGTTAAAAGCTACAAAATTTGATTGTCTCATAAATAACATCTGTTGTGCCTTGACCCTGAGGGACTCACTGTCAATAAATGTTGAGAGCAGACTATGCTTATCACTAGTAGAACCTGATTTCATGCTACTGATGTTCCCTGGGAATAAGCAGAAACACTGTTCAACATTACACAGTTTACCTCTGCTAAGAACTGTCAGTTTATGGGTGCTTTTGAGGATAAGCTTTATCCTTCCGCTTTGGTATAATGTCAGATTTTAGACTAACTAATTTCTGTCCAGATATTCCATTAAATACTTGACCATTATATATTTTTCTCAGGCACTTTGCTTCAAGATCCCCACTCTGATTTTTAGGGATTGTTATGAGATAGAGAATCAGCTGGGTCAAAGCCACGTTCCAGGACTCCCTGGGTATTGCTCATAAGGCTTCCCATGCATTGGCTGTGTAGTGGGGTAAAAGGTGACTTCAATCTTCCACCTTACTCATATTTAGCCCTTCATAGAGGTGGTATCTTTGCCTTGCACATTTGTCATCATCTTTTGATCCACTATGACATTTCTGGAGGATTTGATGATCTGTTTTCATCTGTAAGTGTTCTGGTCCCCTAGGACAATTGGATCTTGGCTGCCTTCCGAGTATGTGTGGGGGTGAGGATATCACTCTTACCAGTGTTTGGCTGCTTACTCCATTCTTCGGCTTTCCGAAAGGACTGCTTTTCTTATGACCTTTGCCTCATTTAGAAAAGTAGGGAAGCTAGCCATAATAAGAACGTAGTATGTCTTCATAACTTTCCGTAAACCTCCATCTTTCTGCTGAGTCAGAAATTAAACTTACCTGTGGTGTTTTCCACACCCAAGGCATTTGTTCCAGCTGTAAGAATTCTTCTGATATATTAATGTCCTTGGTGGCAGGGTATGCTCTCAGATCAAGCACCTTTGGGAGGACTCTCCTACTTGTTTATATGTGTTCCTAAAGCATATAAAGTTTAGCAAATTCACTACAGGGATAAATTGCTGTATGAGTTGGACTGCAAAAGGCAGAACTCTGTGACCGTCATGGTGTGCTCCACTAGAGCTCAAGTGATACTGATGACCTCCATGCCTTTGCTGATGAGAACACTAGAGCTGCAACTCAAATTAGCATTTGCACTAAAATGCATGCTCTTATCAAAGCCTTTTAGCTCATGCTGCTGTCTTCTTTTAGGGCCTTCCTTTAGGGTACATCATGCACAATGCCAGGAGGAGATGTTGCTTCCCTGTTTTGAGAACTGATTCGTCTATAAACATAATCATTACCTGCCTTCCAGTCCCCCTTCCTCCAGAGTCCCTGAAAGATTGTGACAGTATCTGAGAGGAAAGTGGAACCACATATCTTTCTATGGCCAGTAGGAAAGGGTGTAGAGGACATAAGGGTGGTACAATTTCTGATGGGTAAAGTAATGTATACTTTTCAGAGCTTGTACAGTTAAACCCAATGTTAGCCTACTAAAATATAGATGCTGTATCTTGAAGAATTCTTACAAATAAGGCACCGTTTTGTATTTACTAGAATTTCTAGAGTGAGAAATGCATGCCTCTTAAATGTTGCTGATTAAAGTGTTAAATGAAGGGGAGAGGTATGGAAAAGGAAGGGGGAAAAAAATTATGATTACAATTTTTGGGCCTAAGATTAGGAAAGCTAGTGGAGTGGATAATGTTGTTAATCAGAAAGAGAAACTTCTTCCCAGATTAAAACCAAAGATGTTATGTCTCAGCGAATTTTTATTCCTTTTTATTAATTCAGTCTGGGGGAGGGATTTAAGTAAAGGTCAGAGCACTGGTGGAGAAAAGCTGACATAATCCTTTGAGCTCTCTTTAAATGCTGTGGAATAAGAAGAGATTGAAGAAAAGTAAACCAATTGGGGGATTCAAAAGATGAGCAACAAGTTGCTCCAGGGGATAGAATTCATTTCCCCTAGTAAGATTGTAACCAAAATTAGAAATTTTAAATACTTGTTGTTAATATCTTGCTGGTTTCATAAATACACACTGCCTTTTGTAATAGGAACAAAAATAATAGAGAAGAAACCGTGCTGCAGCGCAAAACAGCTGCTAGTGCTCCTCCACCCCCAAGTGAGGAAGCAGTGTCAAGTAGTTCTGAAGATGATTCTGGGACCGACAAAGAAGATGAAGGTGCTGTTTCTCAACGTTCAACTCCAGTAAAGGTGACTGATACAGGAGATAATACAAAAATCACAGAGGTAAGAAACTATTGTGGCAGGCAAGAAGGCTAATCGTGGACTTGAAATTCAGACTTCTTTAAAAAATGGTAAATGTTGTAGAACAGTCAGAAATCAGGCACTGAGAAATTAAGTGGAAAATGTTTCCAGTGTATTTTCTTTGTGTAGATATTAGCACAACTGGTTATAAAACTTCCCTGTTATTCTTGTCGTGTAATAGTGAAACACAGTGGGAAAATATCATTTTCAAAAAATGAAAAGTATGTTTGGAAACCTATGGCATTTGAAAAGTACTTAGGTCAGGTGTAGTCCATAATATAAAGCATAAAATAGATCTATGTTCATGTGTTAATTCAGAGCAGTAGTACAGTTCTGATCATTGTCCCTTACCGTGCTCTGGCTTATATCACAGGGTGGTCTTGGAGTATGTAAATGGGATTCCTTTTTGGGTGAAACTAAACTGGGAGGTGCTTCTCCAGGAGTGCACCTGATCTACCTACCTAATCAACATTTAGTCCGTGGGAGCTAATGTGGAGCAAACCCCCTTTAAGACATGTGTTATGGATCTGAGGTCCTGATCACCACCTCTTTCAATTACAAATCTATTCCTTTTGAATGATGCCATTTGCTCAGGTGGATGTAACTATAAAGTAATGTTCAATCTTGCTAAATTTCAACCTGATTTATGTGAAGATTTTTAAATTGCTGTCTCATAATTCTATGGTCTAACATTTAAAAATCAAGAAACTAAACTAACTCAAAAAATGTGTATGATAATTTTGTCACATTGGTTCTATGCTATTACTACTACTAAGGTTGAAGATAATGGCAGGATAATGGTGAAATCTTGTATGCACAGTCATATGAAAATAATGTGTATTCTCAGTTGTGAGCTATTAATCTTTTTTTGCTGGCATAACCAATTCTGTTGGAATGCCTTGGGTACTAATTTAATGAAAATACTGATTTGTATGAAGTTCTATGGAAATATATATTTTATTAATTCATGTAACATTTCTTCAAATTCCTTATTGTAGATAACCATTTTGGGTACCACTGAAAATGTCTTGGCAAAAGGATATGCTAATGGAGATTATAGAAATTTGCAAAGTAGTTATGTTGTTCTGGGAGGTTTTTTGGGGTTGGTTGGTTTGGGTTATTTTTGTCACAGCTGATTTAAATGGTTATAGTGTTGTGCTTGTACATGTTATCACTTTTGAAGAAACTTCAGTATTTATGACCTTAGTCAGTATAAAATGTAGTGCCTTGATAGGCAACAGAGAATAAACCTGCCTTTTTTTCTTCTACAATTCAAATTTTCATTCCATTCGGTCTTTAACCAAGGATTGTTTGTTATCAGATAATGGATTTTCAGCCTTCTGTACGACATTGTTTTCTTCCTAACCTTAATGAAGCATTTTCAATAAAATAACTATGAAACCTTGTGATATTAATTTTGGACAATGTGGATTAATTGTTATGCCAATACAAGTGCATTTATTTCTGTTTATTATGTTTATCTGAAAATTTCCATTATCTCTGAAAATTTCCATTATCTCTGAATAATAGAGTACCTGTTTTCAAGCAAGACAGATTGCTTCTGCAGTGTTAATAACGGAAGTCCAACCTGAAATTTTATCCTTGATTCTTACCATTGCCTGTTACCTCACTTCAGTTTTTTCGTCTGTGTATTGAACACACTTCAAGACTCAGACCTAAGATATCTTTTTTAGGTTTTTAAGATGCTTAAATGAAAGATGCATGTAAACACAAAATCTGATTTACGATATTATTGCATTTTAATGGCTTACAATGGGGTGAGCTATTCTGATTCTTCTAGTAATGCACATGAAGAAATATTTTCCGTTTTATTTGCACCTTTTCATGCATCAAATTTTAGTCATAATTTGCGATGTTAATTTGTGTCATTGCTTATTAAAATTGCAGGGATGAAAAGGATTACGTATTCAGTTATGCTGAACTGCTGTGTTAGCAATTAACTTGGCATATTGGTAATGTCTGCCTGCCATTGCAAATTTGTTTATTCTCTTCAAAAGTACAAAGCTTCTCTTAGACACATTATTTTTGAGGGCATGTTGTTATGGAAACTTTCTGTTCAGAGACCAGACATAAAAATTAGTAATCTTAAAGACTATATTAGACATTAGATTTTAACATGTTCACCAGCTGATCTTCATTTAGCTTGTGAAGTGTGTTTTTTACATTACCAGGCTAAACAGAGCATCAAATATAGGCTTTTCAAGAAAAGTTTTGGAATTATTTTTCTGGCAGTAGCAATTATTTTTTGTGTCTACACATGTAGTTGAAAAGTTTAAAAAGAAGACCTGTAATGGAGGGTTTAAAAACTGGATGGCTAAACTGACAAATGTAACAAGAAACAAAACAACTGTGGCTGGAAAATGTGATAATCTGTCTAGTTGATTAAATAAGTGTCTATTTTCTAGAACTGGTAAACCACAGAAATGTTTCAGATAATTTTTTTCCCCCCCTCAAGTTAAGCTTAGCTTAGAAGAAAAACTTCAATGAAGAATGCACTTAAAAGCCTAAGCTTACAACTATTCTATTTTATGTCTCTCTTAGGTAAACTGATAGCTTGCTAGCACTCTAACCAGTGTCAGTCTGCACTTTACTATTTTCTCATTTGTGAAAATGGATTGTGTATAGTATTGTTCAAAAATACTAGAAGTTTGGGTGAAAAACACTAGTGTGCGGTATTTTTGTGTGTAAAAGGGATTTATATTTGTGAGCTTATTTTTTCAGGTGCATTCCTGAGTAAATACGGTTATTGCAGAATGATTGGATGTTTGGTCAGGGATTTTATTTTCGGTGTTTTTTACATCAGCAACTGTAGAGTGGGGAAAAATTGTATCGGGACGCAAACAGCTAGTTCCTTTCTATTCACATCTCACAGAAGGTAATAATAAAATGCTTTTATACTTCTGGTCAGGACATATATTTCCAAAGCTGCTCTTTGACTTTGGGTCTTTTTGAACTAAAAGAAAACCATTTTTATAGTTGACTGACTTGCAGTCACATGTGTCTTGTCAGTAAACCCCCTCAGTTTAACAATGAATCATTAGGCATAGTGAAGTATTGCATGTGCATTGGTCCTTGTTATAGTTGACTGGCATGATTGTGTAACATAAAATAAAAATAGTTTTGTTCAATCTGAAACTTGTAATTATTTCAGTGTTGACAGCACGAAATGTGAAAGCAGAAGTGGGAGCATGTTCTGAACAAATATGACTTATTCTATATTGAATTTCAACACAGAACAGAATTTAATACCTACATCATTATATGTCCTATGAATATAATTTCTTCTCTTAATTTGTTGTTTTACCTGATGTTAACTTTCAAGAATCCTTTCCTTTACTTGTTGAACAAATGTTGTTTACTTGTTGAAGAAATATCTATTTTTAAATTGATTATTTTTATTTTAAAAAAAAAGAAAGATGCACAAGCTAAGATTACTATGTATATAAGAAACTTGTTTGGTTTTGCCTGCATTTGTGAAATTATTTTCAGGTTTACAAAGAATTCCTTGCTTGAAAGCAAACTTTTATTTGGATATTGTTACTGTATCCTCAGTCTGAATTTTTCTTATGTTCCAGAATGTAGTGCAATCAACAAAAGATGTGTATGGAGTCAATCTTTCAGATGTTCCTTCAGAAGATGATCTCACAATATACACTAGGTGAGATAAATTTCCAGTGGTAATCAGTAAAAGATCATTTGAGCTAGTTAAATACAGCTTGTCAAAGTGCCACCTTTGATTAAACTTAAATTAAATATTTTAGAGATATTTGGATATATACACTATTCTGTTTTTAAAATTAAACTGTGTCTGTGTCAGCTCTGATTTCAGTGGAAGTTATGCAGATGTTTCTGCAAGATTTGGAACTTCAATGGAATGAAAGATGCTTCAACAGAAATACCTATCACGTAACATAGTCCTAGAAATTAATAAGCAAATTTCATATTAGGAATGGTTCCATGGTTCTAAGCTATATAGTCTGTGATTTTTTGCATTTTTCAAATGTTGAATTGCACTGATTCAAATCAGTCATAAGTTGAAATAGCCTCTTTATAAAGATGCATACAATACAACAGAAGTTAAGTCTTTTTTTAACATAGTGTCTTATTTGTAGAGATATGTGTTAACTGTTACCTTTTACTCAAATCTAAAAAGTCTGTGTGACTTTTGATGTTCAAGAAAAAATATTTTTCTGAATAATATTCAGGCTTTTTCTTGAAATATCTTGTCCTTTTGAGCTTGAAATAAAAAATTGTGGATTTTATAGGTAGATCTTGAGACTGTTACTAAATCTGGTATAGTCTATGAGCAGAAAAGTAGAGAAAAGCAGTCGGAATAACTCACACTGTAGAAGCATGGATATCTAAGTGACAGATACTTGTACTGTAAGTTTCAGGAGAGGGAGAAGTCAGTTTGGCCTTTGGCATTATTGGAATTTCGTAAAATAACATGCAGATACATATGGGGTGTGTATATATATATGCAGAGCACGAAGTGTAGTGTGTGTAATAATATGCTCTTATACGCTGCATTTTGAACAGCATCATACTGCCACTTGTTCTTAATCAATGGTTTTGTGAATTCAAACCATACATACAGGAAATGAGTAAGATACAGCATGGTGCAAGACAAAATACAGCTCCTTAGGGGGTCTGGCAAGTTCCTGCACTTTGAGGTAGACTGCTACACTGTGAGGCAGCATGCTGCACAGCATCTGCAGCCTCTCCTCAGGAGCTTGGAGCTGCTGGCTTATTGTGAGCAGTTGGAGGTAAGATTTGGTGGGCAAGCATCACCTCCCAGCTTCAACTAGAAAACTGCTTTTATTCAATCAGAGAATTATAGAATCTTTGGGCTGAAAGGAACCTTTAAAGGTCACCTAGTCCAGCCTCCCTGCAGTGAGCAGGGACATCTTCAACTAGAACAGGTTGCTGAGAGCCCCGTCCAACCTGACCTGCACTGTTTCCAGGGCATCTACCACCTCTCTGGGCAACCTGTGCCAGTGTTTTACCACCCTCATTGTGAAAAACTTCTTCCTCATAGCTAGTCTAAATGTACCCTCTTTTACTTAAAAACCATTACCCATTGTCCTATTGCAACAGGCCCTGTTAAAAAATCTGTCCCCATCTTTCTTAGAAGCCCCCTTGCAGTACTGGAAGGCTGCAAGAAGGTCTCCCTGGAGCCTTCTCTTCTCCATGCTGAACAATCCCAACTCTCTCAGCCTGTCCTCACAGGGGAGGTGTTCCATCCCTCTGATCACTTTGGTGGCCTCCTCTGGACCCTCTCCAACCGGTCCATGTCTTTCCTGTGCTGAGGGCTCCAGAGCTGGACGGCCGGACTCCAGGTGAGGTCTCACCAGAGTGGAGTAGAGGGGCAGAATCAAGGATAACTTGGATTTTTATCCTGTACAAGACACTTGTCACCGCTCCTACAGGAGCCATGAACTGCCAGCTCCCCAAGTGCAATCAGCAAATTAATGGTGTGCTTCTCCAAGGAAAAGCAGTGACTCCATTGTATCAGGAATGCTGTTTCTGAATTGCCATAACCCCACATAGAGTGCTGGCTATGTGTTGCCATGGTTACAAACCGTGTACTTACGCTATTGTTCTCAAGTTCTCTCTTCAATATCACAGAATAACACTGAAGCCAAAAAGAAACCAGTTCAAATCTTCTTTTTTTTCTTAAATCAGAAATTAATTTGAACCTTTTGAAATCTTGTTAACTCAAACCAAAACTGAACTAGAATAATTTCAGTTATAGATGAACTAAAACTGAACTGAGAAGTTACTTAGTTCACTGATGGAGGAGATTCTTTCTTAACTACAGTCTTTTTCTTTGAAAACTACTCAGAATAATGGGAATTTAGGACTGGAGATCAGTTGGAGAAATTTCGATCCAAATTTAAGATCCTCTTGGTTCTAAAAGACTTATGCTCTTCCAAGAGAGCGATTACTTATGCAAGAAAGCAGGGGTGCAAATCAATTACATTAGCTTAATAAACCAATGTTTCAAACACCTGCTTAGAATGTAGAATTAATGGAGATTGATAAAAGGGGTGTAAGAAAACTACTGTAAGAAAAACACTGTGTGTGTATTGCAGTGAATACTTGTAAGACATGCATTGAAATGGGCTTGTGTGTGCATTTGTTTTTATTTTTTAATGTGTAATAATAGTGATTACCTTGTTATATTTGAAACCCCTTCAATTTGTTTGAAAATTTGTTTCAGTCATTTTTTTCAGTTGGTGATATGTGATGATTAATTCTGACCTAGTTCATTAATACTCTCAAAGAATTATTTTTTCTTTTTATTTAAAAATTTTTTTCTGTTAGTTTTTATTTAGGAGTAGGTACTTCTCTTGCATTCTTTAGCTCTTTGAAATTCCCATTTCTACCTATTTCCTACATGCTGAGTAATTTGAAGATAATACACTTGAAAAGGGTTGAGGAGGATGTTTCTCATTATTTCTGAAATTTTTTACTTCACCTATGCCTCTAACTTTCATTCCTTATTTTAAATACTAGAAAATGGATGCCAATTTGACAATTACCTTTTGGTATACTGGGTAATTATTGTTGTTCTGGAAATGTCCCTGTGTGAACTGGTGTCTACCATGAGTCACTTTGTGCAGATGAGCAACTCTGTGATAACCAGAATTTGAGCTACTTCCAATTTTATAATTTCTTAGGCTGGACTACCATTCAGTCTGTCGTTACAGTAGCACTGTAAACTCCATAGGGGCTTTGGTCCCAATTCATATCCTTCTCAAAACAAAACAAAAAATCTTCCATTTGTTTCATTTTCCTCCAGCAATGCAGGTTTTAAAAATACAACAAATTCCTTACCTCTTTTAGCTAACAAGACATAGTGTTATTCATGGTCTGATGTGCTGATTTATGTGAAAAGTATAGATTTTACTGACATCCTTTATTACAATGTACATAGTTTTAAGAACAGCAGCAATTTATTGCACAGGCTGATTATAGTTCTCACTTTAAGTCTTTTTCTATTATTGTAGTAAGGGAAATGGAGGTGTACAATCCTGACTACTTGATATTGTTGGACATGTTATGTATTTTTTTTCTTTACTAGCATCAGGGACTTACAGATTTAAAGTACCTCAGGTTAAGTTACTTTACGTCAACTGATCTATTAGGCCTATATGCAAATGAAAAGTAATTTGAATCTGTTCAGCTCATTTTCACTGATGGCTGAGATAACTTGTGTTAATTCTCATCAAAATAGAAATCACAGAAGCATAGATTGGTTGAGTTTGGAAGGGACAGGAGGTACCTCAAATAATTTGAGGGTGTGTACTGCAGATCAACTGTGCATGGTGTCTTATTGATGTCTGGTAACTTGCTTGTGTTAATTTAGGCCTTGTTTGTTTCAGAATATCAGATAATTTGAAGCAACTAATAAAAATACTTAACACCTTTAGTTTGCCTTTTTTTAAGTTTGTTTCAATAGCTAGCTCCTGCACTAGAAGATCTTAATTATTTGTATTTCCACTTATAATTCTCTTATTTAGAAATGTAAGTATTTATTCCTTCAACATCCAAAGTGATGTCACGTGTTTCTGAGGCTTTTGTTTCTACAGTGTAGAATCTGAACGGAGCAGAAAGAAAAGCCACAATAAGTTGTTTAGGAACGTATTGTTCCTTTGTCTTTTGTACACTCTTCCATGCAATTGCTTTTGTGCTGTTAGTTGTCCCCTGTTCAAATGTACTAAATATTTCTGAAATAGACCGGTAAGACTATTTCTAAGCTAAATGGAAGCTAAGTATTAAGAACTGCCTCCCAACTCAGAAAATTAAAGTATTAAATCACAGCTAACATTTACTTCTGTTTTCAGTAGCACAGATGTATTGGAGAGTGAACAAATTGAGTTTGAGTGCAAGATAACTACATATACAACATATATTTGAAACCCTCTGACTTTTCCTCTTAGACTGAGGGAATAAGATTAGTAATTAACCTTTTTAAAAATTTTGCTCCAATTCATTGTCAAGAAAAAAGCAGTAACAATATTTTGCATCTTCAGTGTCTTCCAGCAAATGTTTGAAGATGGGGTAATTCTCCCAAAAGGTCGTGCTTGGAAATAAGTGAGCTGGACTGACAGGTTTTCAGCTGAATAAACTAGATTGAATTTGGCTGAGGACTGCCTTAAATCTGAAACTTGAGACACTTTCTGCCTTTTCTGTTGACTTTTCCCATAGGCTATTCATCTGACTGATAGCTTTGAAAAAGACATAGGAAGTTGACTGCAGCAGGATGCCTGTTTCGTAGGAGCTGAGGCCTGTTTCTATCCCATGACACCAATCAATAGGCAAATCTTTTTCAAGCTAAAAGAAGCTGCTGAGTTGTCACATGCGCCCACTGCAAAGTTTTAAAATCTCTCTTCTTTACTAGAGAGGTAGTTCATGATCAGTGACTTATACAACATGACTTAAAGACTCATTTTTTGGTGTAATTTTTTTTCATTTGCTGAATTTGGGGGGATAGTTCTTTTACTTTCATTGATTTATTCTCCTGTCTACCACTTTTCCCAGGTTTGTTCAGCTGGGACAGAGTCAGCATAAACAAGACAAGATCAGCCAGCAATTTTGCTCAAAACACCACTTGGATAGGGTTATAAATTTGTAAGTACTCCTTTTTTTTTTTTTTTTGTTCCCTCTAGCCTAATTCTTTTTGCTTTTGTCATTAGACCTGAAAAAATTATAAGGTAAATTTGATGTTAAATTGTTTGAGAGTCATACTTCTGTTGCTTTTACTGCATAAGGGGATTCAATAGATAACATGAAGCATTAGGTTCCTACTTCTCCCCTGTACATTAAAAAAGTGCACTTTTTTATGTTTTTTTTTTGTTAGGGTCTTTGGTGGTGGTGGTTTTTAGGTTTTTTTTTAGTGCCAAGACTTTTGTATTCAAAATTCTTAGTAGTCATGAGTTATCACAGCACAAAGTGATGAAGCTACTAAGTTTAAAAGGCAATTTCTTCTTGCTGTGATTGCTTTTGAAAGGGATTAGTTGTTCTGTGTATTAGTCATTAAAAAAACATTCAAAGTTGCAACTCTGTCTTTAGTGTGCAGTTATCTGAATTTATTTGTTCTGAGAAGGCTATGAATGCCCTGTATGTGCTTTCGTGGACATTTGAGGAGTCTTGAGAGGTCAAATGGGATATTTTTATTTTTCTGGTGAATTAATAGGTGCTAGAGATAGTGGGGTAAAGTGGGAATTGATTCCTGCCTTGTTTTGTGCACTTGATGACCATCTGTCACTGAAGTCAGAGGATCTATACTAGCTTTAATCATTATGCAGAGTGTTTTAACTGAAGAAAAGACCATCTTGCATAGATGTTATTTTAACAATTAGTCTGCTACATTTTCCTCAGAAGTATCTCCTTGGGTTTCTTTTGGTTGTCTGCCCTTTGTTACATACTGGTTCTATGCATTTGTCAGTGATACTTTGAGATGATGAGGCAATCTTTTAAACCAGTTCATTCGTTACAGTAGATACATTTTTACATCTTGTTCAAAACAGATAAGTAGTTGATGGTAGCTTGTAAGGGAAGATCAAGCTCAGTGCTTTTTGTCAATGAAACACTTGAATACTTTATTCCCAAAAGATTAGTGTGGGAGCCATATTCAACAAAGTCAATTGTGGTGGGATGGTAGGAGGATTGCTCTCCAGGGATACCTGCCATTTGGAGTAATTTCTGTGTATTCTGTTGCGAATAGAGTAACTTTCCATTACTATAAAAAATGACTCTTAACATCAAAATGACAGTATGTGCATGTGTTTAATTTATACTGAAATAAGGAATTTAACAGTTTGTGATTATGGATTAATTATTGCTGTGCAAGAATGGCCTCTAGTGATAGGCCAGACCATTTGAATCTTTTCTTAGTATAAAAAAGGGTCATGATATTATCCAAATATGCCATTATTGAAGCAAGTCTTGGAATTTAGATGGTTGACTCCTAACTTCCCAGTTCACATCTTCCTGTGCTGTAGGCAGCTTAAAGTTTCACCAAGGCAGGTTTTTATTTGCTTTTGTGTCTGGGGTACATGATCTCTTACCCCAGTGCTTTTCATAGTAAAATCATAGAATCACAGAAAATGAAGTACTCAGTCTAAAACTTTGATTTCTTATCATCAGTGAGATATAATTTAAGCTTAGGTTAGTTGCTGTCATTTCCACACTTTTCAGGAAAATATTTTTTTATATCCTTTTTCAATCTAAAAACACCCCAAAATTCATAATTTTAAACCTTGTGGCCATTTTTATCAAATACATCAAGCCAATACAAAAAGAAATACTTCTTATTTTTACAATGTCACTTTGGTTATATTTATGAACTCGAATATGCGTTGTAGAAATACTGAAGAGAAGCTTCTGGCTTAAATTTAGAAACTGTAAGTATAGATTAGAAGCGAAAAATGGATACTTGAACAGGGACTACAGTGATGCAGTGAAATAATACCGAAGAGGAGTGGAGAATGTGGAAGGACACTGAAGTTCCTCTTTTTGTTCGTAGAAATACCATGAAGGAAAAAGGGTAGAATTTTTGTTAGAGCTAAATAGAGCTAAACAGAGCCAGGTTACTTTTAGCACAATCTATTATCATGTATGTGAAGAGAGGCTTTGAGTACCGTAATACAATTACTGCTGGCTGACACAGTGCACCTGTTCCTGATTCCCTAGTACTCATTGCAGTGTGGTATAAATAATACTGTTGAAAAATATACTCTCAATCACTTTCCAAATGTACTTCTTGCGTTCATCTAGGAGTACAAGAAATTTGATTCCCTCCTGACCAGGGAATTGAGTGTTTTGATGCACTGCAGCACTTCTGGAGAAAAGCGTGGAAATGGTTTAATGCTCTTGTAACAAACAGTAGCTGGTTGCATACATTGGGGTACAACCTGTCTTCGGTGCCTGTGCCCATTGTGGCCTATGCAATATAGAAACAATGCTTGTGCACCAAATTTAATTCATCCATAGGTATCTACTTTCCTGTTCAGTTTTGTGGAGCACTGATGATGCTCAAGCACAACACTTTAGTAAGTGATATCTGCAGCATGGTCCAGGGCTATGTTCTCCTTAAATATTTGAAAAACATACCCTGTCTTCAGAGAGATACAGTACATGTTTTTGAAAGTTCTTGTGATGTTAAATGTGTAATTTTATTTTTTTTAATCAAGACTACCTAGATTCTGCTTGTCATCCAAGTATTGATCAAAAGTGACTCAAGTTGAATAGCAACTAACTATCTACAAGTTACCAGCTAACTATGTACAAGTAGCTTATGGGCTTATTTACAGTTTGGTTCTGTGTATATGCACACTATATACATTATTTTCTCACCAAGATGACAGTAATGAAGCAAATTTCAGTGAACAGTGGAGCACCCTATATTTTCCATTTTTGTTAATTAAATGCTTTACTGCAGTATTTTTAATCTGTAATACCACTTTAAAATATAAAAGTAAAAATAGAGCAAGACATTTTCTAATTTGAAGGAAGTGTTTTACACCCCTAGTTAGTTTTGAAGGCTGTTCCCTCAGTTTACAGCTTTCTCTTGTTCATTCAGTACTTCCATATGACTTTGTTAGTATAAGGTCTATTTCTTGGAGGATTAGATAAAATTCACCTTACATTTGTAAACTTGACATCATCACTGCTTTATAACTGCGCCACAGAAAATGTTGGTAATTGAACTTGTTATCTTGCTGTGTATTCACATCCTAGGAGTTTGGGGGGGATTCCTTATGTTGAAAGGCAGGAGTAGTAAATGAATAAAGGATATGTAGAATGTTGAGTATACTTATTTTTTACATTAAACCCATGCATAAACCCATGTTTAAAAACCCAACGTATTCTGCACTTCAGTAGAGCACCTTCTTGCTACATAACCCTTTGTCAGAGCAGCATCTAGTCTTCAGCAAAGTCTCCCCTTTGAAATCTCCCAGAAGGGCCTGAATAGATGCTGTGTTTTTACCTACAGCTCATTTTATTTATTCCTTTTCTTGGAAATAGGATAGCTATGCCTCTTAATTAAAACAAGCACTGCTTCAGCTCCTTTGAGATGTAAATACTTGGGTTAAATTGGGAGTCATCTACCTTACCTCCTTCCTTAATTAAAAACTCCTTGCCTCTGTGGTGGATGAAATTCTTTCCTGTTTGGTGATTATTTGGATTCATTTTACTTTAAGATGTCCTGTATAGGATCTCATATTCTTTAACAGCTGTATATTAAGTAGTATATATGATCTAAACCTCTCTATACCTCTAAATAAAATAAAAATATGTAGCTTACTATTAGCTCTTGACTCAGAACAGAGATGAGGATAATTAACCACTTTGGGTTAACTGATCCAACAGAGACACGTTACAACAACTTTAATTTCTCTTCTTCTTTTGACTCACATATATCCACTGTTCTGGTATTCTAAAAATACCTTTAAGGATTAGTCTTCCTCACTTAATTTGAATCTTTCCTTTTTTTGACTCTCAGTATTTTAAACAAAGCAGTTCCGTGATTCTCTAGCATTTATTGCCTGTGAGAATTCTCTTGAAATTTACTGGTCTGGCTGTTTATAAATTACCTGGATTTTGTCTTCTGTCTGACGATGAAAGATTGGCCTTCACTGGGATTCTAAATGGGTTTAGCACTGTCTATGTGCTCATCGCTTGCAAAATGGCTTGACTACTGCTACTGAGAGTATCTTCATTTTATATTCTGGGGAAGTGGTTTTAAAGTCATTGTGGGCACCTTCCCTGAAAGTACTTGGTACTTCATGTTGGCTAGAAAAGACAAAAGTGTCGGGAATCAACACCACATAGAAGGAATAATTCTGTCATTTTGGATTTGAATGTGCTGTTCATTTTTAGTTACATGTCTCAAAGAATACTGCTTGGAAGGGTCTGAGGAAAAGCTGTAGTATGATCAGAGTTGTAGGACTCTCCAGAAAAGAGCTGGCTGGGGACTGAAAATTAAGTCCATGATGTGATGGTTTATAAAATGCTCTACTGAAGTTCGACAGGTGAAATGGTTTGGTATTACAGTTTAAGTCACAGCATGACTGGATTTGATGGGACAAGTTACAGAACAGCTGAGCCAGTTCTAAGAGTTCATTGCCACCAAAAGGGGGAGGTCCTGCTCTTTTCCCTCCTTCCTTATCACATACTTTTTCAGTTACTGGTGCAAGCTTTGCTACTTGTTACAGTGCTCCATAAATCAGTTCAGCTCATCAGTCTCCAGCAAACTAATTCAGCAAAAAAAGCAAGTAGTTTCCTGGTAGATTAATGAGATTATTTAGACCAGTGAAGGTCCCAGTTATCACTAGGGCCAGCACAGAAGAGACAGAGCCACAGGGTCAAACGCAGCAGAACTTTCTCATGTGGCTGGTGGCAATTTGTTAGATTGGCTCAGTTCTCTTGCATAGCACCCTTATGATAGATCGGGCAGTTGCTTTTTCCAGGGATCTTGGGAAAATGGTTTGAACTCCTTGTGATTCAGATCCCTGTGTATGTAAGAAGAATTATCTTTTTCCAGTTCATTTGTTCTGTCAATACGGAGCTCTGAGCTTTTCAGATGAAAAAACTCATGTGCCTAGCATTTTTAGTAGAGTTGTCAA